TTAAGAATACTAGGAATGCTAAGGATACCAAGGATACTCGTAAAACAAGAAAATACTAGGAATTCTTTTGATAGGATTGTATCGTAATCTAACCAGAGAATTAATAAAATTTTTGATTTTCTTTTAATTTCATTTTAATTTATCTTGAGAATTAAACAATGCCCTCTTTCCTTCTAAAACGCTACACTTTTTCACCAAAAGGCGTAGAGACGTAAATTCTTCTAAATAATATTCTTCATCCCGAGGAAGAGGAAGCAACGAAGCAACTTCTTTCAAACGCGAGAGATCGCTCTCAAACACACGCGCATGTGGCAAAATCATCAAAAGGCAAAGAAAAGAAAAGGAGAAGAAGGTAGAAATGTACAAATACTAACGCACGCAATTCCGAGGTACTTGTGCACGGTGAAAAGACAAACTTGAAGGCGTAATAGAGACAGCGGTTAGATAGAGGGTGGAAAAGGGGCGAGTGGACCAAGAGGGGGCAAGTAGTATCGCGTAGCTACTTAAAACTTTTCGAGCTTGTCTTGTGTCCCTACTAGTTGCCACCTTGCTTACTTAGCTCTGCTCCGCAACTTCTACCTTCTGCGCTATAGTCTCCTTCTCTTCCTGTCCCTCCCCTTTTGCTTCCTGTATCCCACCCCTTTGGATCTTTCTTCGCTTCCTGCTGACTGGGGGAAGCCGAGTTTACTTTCGTTTCTGGCTATCTCGTGTATACTCTTTTATCAAAAACTCTTTCCTCTACTTTTTCCTCTTTCGTGAAAATTGCTTGCCGATTGATTTGTATTTTTTTATTCTTTACTCTATCAGATCATTTACTCTATCCGATTTTTCTCGTTCTTTGTTACAGAGAGGACAATTGCTATCGCTGTATCGTCATGCACATGAAGCATCCGAATGTTCTTCAGTATAAAGAAAGTGAGTCTTGCACATCTTATATTTCTTGACTAGATCCTTGAATTTATTTCAAATGCCCGCGGAAACTGTTGATCGGTTCGGAACGATGTTGATGTTATGGTATTTCATTAAAATTTATTGTACAAATGTCAGAGGCATGGAGGAGGGAGAGAAAATGAGAAATTTTCTGAACTTCTCGTTATTCTTTTCTTTTTTCTTCAGCCTATTGCATCACAGAGACACCGAAACCAACTCTGCCCTACATATGCAGCGAACTGAGAAGCGACGCCATATTAATTTCCCTATTCCGCACGGGGGCAGCACCGATGCCCTGTCCGTTCAAGGGACCCCTAGAATTCACGTACAGTCACGGCGAGGGAGAATGTAAATCGCCGTTATCAGCGGCAGAAACCTGCACGCAGGAGTCGCGGTTACTTCTACGCTATCAGGCGTGTGCCAATGTGCTGTCTTCTGAAAGCGTTGGTGAGTATGCCTGAAAGTGAAGAATTAATTAAAACTAAGAAAAGAAATTATGGAAAACTTCAATTAAGA